TTTAACTTTGGCTTGATTTTCTCCCACAAATCCAAACATCTTTCAGTTTCTCCAATTTGATAAACAATTAGGAAAATCAGTTCTTAACACGCAATCCTCATGGGAATGATACTCTTCTTATCACTTTATTACTTTTTACGACTAGTGCCTTTGCTTCACATTGCATGATGTCATTTCAAACCAGATATATATGTGGATGACTGACAAAAGATACATTCCACTTAATGCTGATGATGTTGCCATTCGGCTGGATTTGATCTCTCAAGTTCATGGGGTAGAACGAGCAGAAAACTATTTCAATAATGTTTCAAAATAATTAAGGAGATTTCATGTTTATTCTGCTCTTCTCAAATGCTATGCCAATGCATAATCTGTGGAAAAAGCAGAGGCCACCATGCAGGAAATGAGTGATTTGGGATTTTTTTATAAGAACACCACTGATTTACAATTCTATGCTTAATCTTTATTATAAGACTGGAAATTTTGAGAAATTTGACAGTCTGATACATGAAATGGAAGAAAAAGGCATCAGTTATGACAAAATGACATTTTGTATCCGTCTAAATGCCTATGCAGCTACTTCTGATGTTGAGAGGAATTGACAAGATTGTAAACATGATGGAATCCTATCGCACTGTTCTCTTAGACTAGGAATTATATGCTACTGCAGCTAGTGGGTATACAAAAGCTGGGTTTTTGGACAAGTCTTTGCAAATGCTGAAGAAATCTAAGGGACTAATATCGGGTGAAAGTAAAGCATACAAAATTCTTATAAAACAGTATGCAACAACTGGGCGGACAGATGAAGTTTTAAGACTTTGGGAAATCTCCAAGAAGAATTTACTGTTTACAACAGTGGCTATAAATCTGTCATACCTTTTCTATTAAAATTTGATGACTTGGAGAGTGCTGAGAAGATTTTTGATGTATGGGAATTGTAGAGTCTAACCTATGATTTCCGGATTCCAAACTTCTTGATTGGTTGTTACTGTAGAAAAGGCCTTTTGCAGAAGGCTGAATCTCTTATAGGCAAGGCAATATTGAAGGGGGAGAAGCCGGATTGGAAGACATGGTTTTATATGGCAACAGGATATCTTAAGAATAATCAAACTCTAGTGGCAGTGGAGGCAATGAAGGAAGCGTTGGTGGTTTTTCGAAATAAGTGGAAGCCAAGTAAGGAACACTAGGCAAGCTCTTTGAACGTATTAAAAGATGGAGTAGAAGACATAAAGGGAGTCGAGGAATTTTTAAATTTGCTCAGGAAAAAGAATATTATCTCTGAGGATCTCCAAGAAAAATGGTTGAGTAATGTCCAGAATGGGAAGTTTAACTTCGACGAACTTAGTAAGTTTTATGGTGATGCTTTAATTGATGATGCAGAAGCACTTTCAGCACCCGAGGTTGATAACGATGACTCAGTAAAAGAACAGGAAACATGTTGAATACGAATTCGAAACAAATTTAAACTTTCAGGAAGCTGAGACTCTCAGGTCTGAACCTAGTCAAAACCACAGACTCTTGCAAACCACCAAAATTAAACACTGGGACAGAGTTGTCCACTGAGTCGACTAAAACAACTATACCCAACCTCCCATCAACTGTCCTCTCTATCTTTTCCGGGGCGGGGCGTGGAAAGCCATGTTTACAACCGTCACTGGTGCCCTCTCCAAAAGTGGAGGAAGAAAACAGGCATATTCGGGCCCGAACCAGCTGGCACAGTATTGCCCAATCCAAACCGGAACCTGGCCAACCCATGTTGAACAGGGAGAGGTTGTTAAACAGGCATTGAGGGTTTTATCGCAGTGTGGTGGAGGTGAAAGAGAAGGGATTAGTAGCACCAAAGTGGGGCCAAGGCGAGTATGGGGCACAGGAAGAGAGAGAGGGAGAGGGAGAGGAGGAGAGAGGATGTTTAGAAGGGATCATTTGGTTCAGGAATGTTAGATTACTGGAATGTTGGATCACTGGAAAGATAGATTACCTTGGAAGATTACTGGAAATCTTTAGAAAAATGTGTTTGGTTAATTGGTGGGTATGTTATGTTAATATGTTTGGTTATGGGGAATAAATTGGTGGGTATGTTATTTAAATTACCAAATTGTCCCCTTTTCAAATATTAATATAGTATTATTTTTATTATTAATTTTTAATAATTTCTTTTAACCCCAATATTTCAGATTTAGTTAAAACACCCCCGCTTATATAAAACTTTAATTTATTATGAAATCACCCCCACCACCTGCCGTCGCCACTGACCACCATCGGAAGTCTCCGAAAGTCCCCATCAACAGCCGACCGTGACCAAGAGGCTTCGATATGGCCGTTTCCGGCCATATTGATGGCCGAAAACGGCCATATCGAAGCCTTCTGGAGTCTCCCATCGAGTCTACTTCTTTTTTAGGGACTCCGGTGATTTTCCAGCGGCAGCCATGGTGGTTGGCCGCTGTCGGCGGTGGTGGCTGGGTGGCAGTGGTGGTGGTGGCTGGGTGGCAAGGTGGTCTGCTAATTATTTTAAATATAAGGGCATTCTTGTCCAAAATTTTAATTAAATAGGCGTAAAATTGAAATAGGATATTAATGTAAATTTGTTTTAAAGTAGGGATATTATTGTCCAAAATTTTTATTAATAAGAGATAAAATTGTAACAAAAAAAGGTAACCCTGGTAATTTCAGAATACTTAAGAAAATAAAGGTAATTAGATTACCTCCGATATTACCAATAGTAACCACTATTGGTATTTGAAGATTACCGGTATCTTATATTACTTGACAATCAAACATGGTAATCAAGTAATATGAGATGATATTACCCTAATAATCCCATATAACCCCTAACCAAACTCCTTTGAAGGGAAATGGAGGATAAAGATGAAGGATTTGGTGCAAGTTTGTATTTTGGAGACAATGCTGATGGGGACAAAATGGCTGAGAAAATTGGGGTTGAGAAAATTGGGATTAATGTTTTTTTAACACCTAAAATTTAAGAATAGGAGAATTTGGTTATTTTAGACGCCTAAAGAGCCTAGATTTTATGTAACTCTCGTAAATATAAAAAATATCAACTGAATTAAAGAAAAGGGGCTAACATACTATTTTTGAAACTAACAGTGCTCCTCAACAATTAGATTAAACCTATGGGCTTTACTGTAATTATTCCTAAAAATAAAATATAAAAAAAAAAAACCCTTAAACCCTTCTATTGCCTTCACTCTAGAGCTCTTCATTTCTCTCTTTCTCTGTATTTTATCTTGCAAATGAAGCGTGTAAGCTCGCTTACAATCCTTGAAAGCATCAAACTTCAGCTCTGTTTAGGAAATGTTTCAAGAATTTTCTCATACTCAACCGCAACACGAAACCTCACAACAGAATGGAGAAATTGGAACCCGTACCCAAACTCAATTTGCAATTTATTCCATCGTATCACGTCACTGGGAGGTCCAACGGTCTCCATTGTTCCCTTGCTCGATCAATGGGTCCAAGAGGGACGAACAGTAGAGAAAGAACAACTCCAACTCTTCATCAAACCAAAGAGTTGCAATCCTTTGGACCATTCATCAAAGAACAGTAGAGGTATTAACAAATTAATTAAATTTTACTTCTAGGAATTATTTCGCGCCTTGTTGTACTTATCTTTAAAATTCATAGCAAAATTTGAAATTTTCTTTTCTCCAATTTTTTATGGTTTGATATAATATTCAAAATTTGTTTTCAGATTAAAAATTATAGAACATCATGAAAACTACTTTTGGTCGTTTTCTAATGATTACAATAGTTTTAAGGATTGTATCAAAAATCCATTTTTGAAAACATTCTGGCTCATTTTTACTGAATCGTATTTTCATAAAATTGTTCTATATTTCTTGTTTTAATATGTATAAAAATAATGAATACAAATCCTAGATCAAAGAGGCTTTAGTCAAAATAAATTTTAACTTTAAATAAGTGTTAACTCAGTAAAGAAAAAAAAAATAGCAGGGCATATTTGATATATAATTTAAATACAATTTTTTGTTTTTGAAAACAAAGGATACAACAAATCTTATGAAAAATGCATTCGGTAAAAATGTGTTGAATTGTTTTCGAAAACATTTTTTTAATAGAATCTTAAAAATTAGTGTAAAATTAGAAAATGATTTAAATTTGTTTTCACAATTTTCTGTGGTTATTAATCTGAAAACATTTTTTTGGATATTATAACAAATTTTCAAATATTAAAAATACAACTCAAAAACTTTTTTTGAAAATTATGTTTAATCACAAATCAAACGGACATGTATTGAGATTTCAGATTAAGTGACCAAAATAAACGCATCGTAAGTATCCTCGCATAATAAAATATTAGGGGCATGAATAGCAATTCCTAAACTACAAAGGACTTTTCAAATATTTTATAAAACAATCACGTACTTGAAAGTTAAAACCCATAAAGAGCCAAAACCCTTAAACCCTGAGTGAGCAATATCCTCTTCAACTTCAACTTCACCTTCACATTTCGCTCTCTGATTCTCTGAAATTGTTAGAGCATATGAAGCTTGTATGCTTGCGTGCAATTCTTGAAAGCGTTAGCTTCACCATCGAAATGTTTCCAGTGTATCTTCATACTCGACAGCTACAAGAAACCTAAGATTGAAACAGAGACGCCGAATTTCAAACTCAATGATCACTCTGTTCCATCGAATCTCACAATTTCTGATGTTGAATTAATAGGTCCAAGAAGGATGATCCGTAGACAAATTACAACTCCGAGACTTCATCAAATGATTGTGGTCCTTTAAACAATACGATCCTTTTATATAACTCTTGTAACTATAGCAAATATCAACTAAATTAAAGAAAAGGGGCTAACATCCTATTTTTGAAACTAGCGGTCTTCCTTAATAATTAGAATAAACCTATAGGCTTTACTGTAATTATTCGTTAAAAAACAAAAAAAAAAAAGGGTCAAAATCCTCAAAACCCCTTAAACCTTTCTATTGTCTTCACTCTTGATCCCTTCATTTCTTTCTCTTTCTTTGTAATTTTTTCCTGCAAATGAAGCTTGTAAGCTCGCGCACAATCCTTGAAAGCATCACACTTCAGCTCCGTCTTAGAAATGTTTCGAGAATTTCATCATACTCAACCGCAACACGCACAACAGAAAGGAGAAGCTCGAACCCGGACTCAATGCGCGGTCTGTTCCGTCGTATCACGCCGCTGGGAGATCCAGCGGTCTCCATTGTTCCCATGCTCGATCAATGGGTCCAAGAAGGACGAACCGTAGAGAAAGAACAGCTCCAACTCTTCATCAAAGAGTTGCGATCCTCCAGACGATTCACTCACGCTCTCCAGGTATTAACAGATTAATTATATTTTAAATTAATTAATTTTTTTTCTTAGGAATTATTTCGCGCCTTGTTGTACTTATTTTTAAAAGTCATAGCAGATTTTGAATTTAGAGACATAATTTGATTCACTTTCTTAGAATTGTTTATTTTGATTCCGGATTTGCATGTAAGTGACCGGGCCTTGAGGGAGGTGAATGAGTAGGTTTGTAGCTTAGTTTTGTTAATTTCGTTTGTCAATAACTATTTTTAAATGGAGCTGTGAAGAAAATTTTGATTCCTTTTGAAAACGTGGCATTGTCCGGGTGTGGTGGAAGATGATGGCTCAAAATATTTTTAATATGTTGATTTGGCATTAATAAGTTCATGCTTATACTCCATTAGTCTTGCGTTTTGAGAAAAGTTTTATGCATTTTGTTTTCTGTCAAATTCGTATGTTTCCTATTAGAAAAATAAGATATTTCCCGAACAAATTTGATGACATGGGTTAAAATTTTGTATCCGCTTATGACTGGTGAACCAGGAAAATAATATATAGATTCCTTTAAGAAAAAGAAAAGGGATTGGAATGGGTTGGCTATTAAACTTCTTCGAGTTTTTGGAACGCAGATCGCTTAATCTTTCACTTCTAGGCTTATTAGTGCAATTCTTATTTTTGGAACTTGCATTGGGTTCAGTTGATTATTATATCTTTTTGCCCCGTGTCTAACTTGTAATTTTAGAGTTGCAATTGGTTCATGATCTTTTTGTTGCTCTTGGTCCTCCATATTTTATCAAGGAATTGATTGATTTCACCCTGAATTTTCTTGAATAGAGTGATATAATCACATTTAAATATTCTGTGTTTAGAGTTTAAGTGATCATAAAATTTTGATCTATCATATATAATTTGCACCTGGAGTTGTAGTTGTGATGTTGATTTGAAGTTATTTGTAAAGATGCTTAGCCTTTATATGATTACTTCATTTTAGTCATTTCATTGTTTTGGTGTCTCACTAAGATATCTCTTTGTCTCTCTACACCAGATATCTATGTGGATGACTGACAAAAGATATCTCCAACTTACAGCTGGTGATGTTGCCATTCGGTTGGATTTGATCTCTAAAGTTCATGGAGTAGAACAAGCAGAAAACTATTTCAATCATATTCCAAAACAATTGAGGTTTTCTGCTTATTCTGCTCTTCTCAACTGCTATGCCAATGCAAAATCTGTGGAAAAAGCAGAGGCCACCATGCAGGAAATGGGTGATTTGGGATTGTTTGCCAGAACACCACTGATTTACAATTCTATGCTTAATCTTTATTATAAGACTGGAAATTACGAGAAATTTGACAGCCTCATTCATGAAATGGAAGAAAAAGGCATCAGTTCTAACAAAATAACATTTTGCATCCGTCTAAATGCCTATGCAGCTACTTCTGATGTTGAGGGAATTGACAAGATTGTAAACTTGATGGAATCCTGTCCCACTGTTCTCTTAGACTGGGAATTTTATGCTACTGCAGCTAGTGGGTATGCAAAAGCAGGGTTTTTGGACAAGTCTTTGCAAATGCTGAAGAAATCTGAGGGACTAATATCGCATAAAAGCCGCTTTGAAGCTGCTAAAGCATACGAATTTCTTATAACCCAGTATGCAACAACTAGGCAGAAAGATGAAGTTTTAAGACTTTGGGAAATCTACAAGAAGAATGCTACTGCTTACAATAGAGGCTATATATCTGTCATAAAATCTCTGTTAAAATTTGATGACCTGGAGAGTGCTGAGAAGATTTTTGAGGAATGGCAATCACAGAGTTCAATCTATGATTTCCGGATTCCAAAGTTCTTGATTGGTTGTTACTGTAGAAAAGGCCTTTTGCAGAAGGCTGAATCTCTTATAAGCAAGGAAAAATTGAAGGGGGGGAAGCTGGATGGCAAGACATTGTTTTGTATGGCAACAGGATATCTTAAGAATAATCAAACTCTAGAGGCGGTGGAGGCGATGAAGGAAGCGTTGGTGGTTTGTCGAAACAAGTGGAAGCCAAGTAAGGAACGCTTGGCGAGCTCTTTGACATTCTTAAACAATGGAGTAGAAGACATAGAAGGAGTCGAGAAATTTATAAATTTGCTCAGGGAAAAAGACATTATCTCTGAGGATCTCCAAGAAAAGTGGTTGAGTAATGTCCAGAACGGGAAGTTGAACTTCGACGCACTCAGTAGTTTTTATGTTGATGCTTTGATTGATGATGCAGAAGCACTTTGACCGCCCGAGGTTGATAACGATGACTCAGTAAAAGCTGTTATTTTAAGGTTGTGACTCGTAAAAGCTTTTGGCTTGGGTGCATAGCCATTATCTTCGGGCTATGGCTTGTCAGATTCAGGCTTGGGTGCATAAGCATTGTCTTCGGATTGTGGCTTATAAGCTTCAGACCTCTCCTGATCGAATGATTTAGAACTATAAATATATCTCATCTTGTATTTGTCTTCAGATTTTGGTTCATAATTATATTCCTGAGAATTTGGCTCGTCACCCTTAGGGTTGCTGCCATAGCCATAATCAGCAAGAATCAACGAGAAGAGACCATGACTCTAAAAATTTGTAAAATCTTTAAAAGCTATCTATATTTATTAACAAAGACTTAATATTCCGTGAGATATAAGGATTAAAGATGATTATTGTGATATTAATATTGTTATGAACATACATAGGATAATTTTTCGGTCATCGGATTTCGATAGCCCATTTACAGCAGCCAGCAACTATGATGACAGTCAAACTATAATTTTTTTAAGAGTAAACGACATGTTCCCACCCCAGGTTTGACGAAATCCCAAATTGGTACGCCAAGTTCTATTTATTCCATATTCCCACCCTTAAAATAACACTGTTAACATTTTTTGGGTTAGTGAGGGTGCAATTACCATAATGTCCTTAACCGTAAATTAATAGATTATATTTTAGCCCCTAAATTACTAAAATTATAAATTAACCATCTTGTTTTGAAATTACTTCAATTACACCCTCAATGATTGCGTACCGTCTCGATTTTCACCAAATCTGGGCTGTTTCCGATGACGGCAAAACCCCTGGTCACCTCCATCAGCTTTCCCATCGTCCGTCGTCCAAAACCCCTTTGATTCCTGACTCATTGACCTCTCCAATCGACGGCGCCGTCAGGGTTAGGTTTTTGTCATTCTTCACCAGATTCCGGCAATGAAAATCTAATTCGACGTCACCACTACAACTAGCATCTCCTAATCTACAAAACCCCTATGTCCCAGCAACCGTTTAGTGGTCATTCTCCGGTGGAGATCGAAGAAAACTAGCCGCATGTGGCGGCTGTCGTGGCTAGCCATCGGCGAGTGATAAGGGGTTGTCAAGGGTACGGTTTTGTAGAGGGGAGTATGAGGGTTCGAATGGTGGTGACAATGGTGATTTTGGGTGGAAGAATCGCCGGAAAAGGGCGAAAAATGTCGACGGTGAGGTTGGCTAACGTGCGCCAGAACTTTATTAGGGGCTGCGATCTGTTAATGTGCGCCTCCTCTGTGAAATGACCAATTTACCCCTGAGCCGTTATATCTAACCATTTCCCGTTACTTTAAGGGTGGGAATATAGAATAAATGGAACTTGACGTACCAACTTGGGATTTCGTCAAACCTTGGGTGGGAACATGTCGTTTACTCTTTTTTTAAAGCTTTATTCAATGTTATCATATAAAATTTATGTTTATTTATGAATAAATGTACTTAAGGTAATTTAGTTCAAGAATATTTTAAAACTTTTTTAGATTCTAGAAAAAGCGATGAAATCTGGTATGTTTGATTTATGATCTAAAAATAATTTTTTAAAATACAATCTCAAAAAAGAAATGTAAAATTAGAAAACGATTTAAATTTGTTTTCATAGTTTTATGCATGGTTATCAAATCGCGTATCGTATCGTGTATCGAAAACCTAATTTTTTGAATCGTGTATCGCGTATCGTATCGTAAGATACGTCTTTTTCAAAAAAATTAATAAAATAATCAAAATTTTCTAAAAATTAATATAATCCCCAAGATTAATTAAAGAATTTTGTGGTATTATTGACTTTAAATAACGGTATTACATAATCAAAATTAATCACAAAATTCCAAGATCAATGTCAATATCTATATCTCCACTTATATTATTATTATCATGTAAAATGGGCAATACATATTCCTCTTCACTTTCTCCATGCAAAATAGGTAAATTTGGACAGGTTTTGGTGAATCGGGTTGGGTGACCCGGTTTCTATCCAAATTTTTTTTTTGGACATTTGGCCCAAATTAATAAAATCGTATCGATTTATATCGATATTTTTAAGGATACGAACGGATACGTATCGTATCATAGGATACATATCAACGTATCGAATGGTTTAGGATACACTCTCTGATACGTATCGTTGGCAACCTGTATCGAATCGTATCGTATGATACGTATCGGGTATCGTAGGATACTAACAACCATGGTTTTATGTAGTTATTGATATGAAAATCATTTTTTGATATTATAACAAATTTTCAAATATTAAAGATATTAAAAACTTGAATCATATTAGTTTTTCAGAATTATGTTTAATTACAACTCACAAGTCAAACGACCATGTATTGAGATTTCAGACTAAGTGACCAAAATAAACACATTTTGGAGCTCTTTGGTTGAGGGTTACCTCTCATTACTCCAATAATGTCATCTTATATTATTGACATTATCATGTTTGGTTGTCAAGTAATATAATATTCCAGTAATTTTTCAAAACCAATAGTAATCACTATTGATTATATAAATAGTAATCTGAATACCACTATTTTCTTAAGTATTCTAAGATTACTTGATAATCTAACTTTTGTTACAATTTTACCCTTTATTAATCATATTTTAGAACAATAATTCTCTTTTTATCTAAATAATTTACTAGAATTTTCATGAACAATTTTAGACTTATACAGAAAAATATGAAGATAATTTATACCCTTGCACTTCCACCAAATAACCCAATACCACAATCAGCCACTGGCCACCACAGTCGCCACTGGCGTTTGTTGCCAGAACAATACATGATCGGTTAGATCTGGTCAACCGTGCGCCAATTTGGCTGTTAATGGCCATAGATTTGGCCATTAATGGCCATGGATCTGGTTGGAAAAGGCCAGATCCATGGCCATAATAGATCTGGCCGTTTCTGGCCATTAATTTGGCCAGAAACTGCTAGATCAGCACACGACCGACTATATCCGACCGGTCCTACGCTGTTCAGGTCACGGCTGGTAGTGGTGGCTAGCAGCCAGCAATGGCTTGGGTGGGTGGGATTATTTTTGTTACAATTTAAACTTTTATTGTGACTATGGTGTTTTAACAAAATATCAAATGTAAGGAGTTAAAAAAATAATCCAAATAATAATATTAATATTAATAATATATAAAATGTAGGGGGTTAAAAAAATAATCCAAACAACAACAACAATAATAATAATAATTATATTTAAAAAGAAGGGCAATCTAGCAATCTATACAATATATCCACCCATTTATTCTTCTCAATTAAACATATCAATATAACATACCCATCATTTTATTCCAATCTAACCAAACGCATTTAATATAACATTCTCAATAATCTTCAAGATAATTTATCTTCCCATTAATATAATATTTTCAGTAATACAATATTCCTTAAACCAAACGCATACTCTAAGTGATATCCCCTTACAAAATATTAGGGCCGTGGATAAAAATTCCTAAACTATGCAAGTCTTTTATAATTTTCTAAAGCCTCAGGTACTTCTTAAAACCTATAATAGTGACCCAAAGCCCTTAAACCTTGCGTGAACTCGGGGCTTCCTCTTCAACTTGACCTTCACATTTCGCTCTTTGATTCTCCAAAATTGTTAAAGCAAATGAAGCTTGTACGCTTGCGTACAATTCTTGAAAATGTCAACTTTCAACTCTGTTGTCGAAACGTTTCGAGTATTTATTCACACTCGTTAGCTATAGGAAACCTAAGACCGAAGCGAAGACCCCAAATTTCAAACTCAATGAACGCGCTGTTCCATCGGATCTCTCAACGCTCTATTGCTCCAATGCTAGACCAATGGGTCCAAGAAGGATGAACTGTCGACCAATTACAGCTCAGAGACTTCATTAAACGATTGCGGTCCTTTAAACGATATGGTCATGCTCTATAGGTATTAATAAATAAAATATAATTTCTATGTGTATATTTTTTAACATTTCAATTTATATATGTATTTTTTGAAAATATTTAGCTTAAGAAAAGCCTTGAAGTTCATTAGAGAAATTGAATGGAGTTTTAAGAATTATCGGGATTCTCTGGTTTATGTTTTCCTGCATTAGCTCAATCCACTCGTAATTTGAGAAAAAAGAAACAAAATAAAAAATTTGACCTAAAACAGATAATTGGATTCGCAAGTTGTAGTTGCCATACTAGTCAATGCTGGTGATATGGCCACTCGGCTGGATTTGATCCATAAAGTTTAGACGATAGAGCAAGCAGAAAATTACTTTGATAACATTCCAATTCAGTTAAGGGGCCATGAGGTTTATTCCACTCTTCCCAACTGCTATTTGAATGAAAAATCTTTGGAGAAAGCAGAGGCCACCATGCAGAAAGTGAGGGATTTGGGGTTTGCTAAATATCCTCTGGTTTACAATACTTTGCTCAAGCTTTATTATCAAAATGAAAATTACGAGAAACTTGACAGTTTGATGCATGAAATGGAAGAAAAAGGCATTGGTTGTGACAAAGTTACATTCGGCATCCGTCTTAGTGCCTATGCAGCAACTTCTGATGTTAGGATATTTGAAAAAGTGTTTTAAGTTCAGTTGAGTTGAATAAAATCGAATAAGATTTGAATTTGAAAATATAATTGGTAAAATATTTGAAAATTATATTAGAGTTAGATAAATTGTTGAATAATTGTTGGGTATAATTTTTGGAAAAGGATTTTAAGATAGAATATGTGTTTGGTGCATCTTATTAAATATTTTATTATTTGATTATGAAACTTTTTTATTTTAATTTAAATAATTGTTTGGTAATTTTTTTATCACTATGTTTAAAACAAATTCTCTATAATAATTTCAACTACTAATACATCATTTAAAAACTAGGAATTTTGTACATTACAATATCATAAATTCATAATACATTAATATATATCTAAATTAATAATAGGAAGCTACTAGTAATCACTTATAAAAAATCTTCGAACACCTATATTCCATTAACAATTAGGACATGGATACATGTTGGAACCACATATCAGTAGTTATGTTATCCCTCAGAGTTGTCATGTTGTATGTATTACGTTGATATGATTGATTTGATCCCTCCCCATTGCCTTCATTTTCTTCCTCATTTTCCATATCAAAATCTTCATCCTCATAAACTCCATCTTCATTAATTTCTTCGAAGATAAGGTCTTGCATATTGAACATCCTGATAAAATTATGAATTATACAACATGTCATAACAATTTTAGTTTGTCTCTTCAACGAGTAATTGTTCATGCCTTCAAGAATACGAAACCTATTTTTCAAAACACCAAAGGTTTTCTCTATAACATTCCGAAGAGATGCATGTCTATAATTAAAAAATTGAAAGGGTCCATTCTGGTTACGACGTTGATCGGCAACATGGTAAAGGAACCCGTCTATGCAGGGTAAGGGACCCACCTCTATTCGCATAACCGGCATCAACGTAGTATTTACCTATAATAAAATATTGAATATTATTTGCTCAATGGCTAAAAAAAATGTTTATAGTACGCTAAAATACGTAAAGAAGTTAGTTATACCTGGTGGAAAACCAGAATTAGGATTATCTAGAAATGAATTTAAAATTCTAAAGTCATAGACAAATCCTTCCCACCGGCGACGACATAAGTGAACAACATCTTGAAATCGCATACAGCCATCACATTTTGTGACAATATTTCTTTATGATTAAGATACAACTTAGCTAACCCAAGCATGTACATGTGTACCATTAATAGCTCCAATACAATTCTGTCGACAAAATTAAATTTTAATAATATAAGAAGACTAATAAATTATATAAAACAATGAATATAACTACCAACAAATTAAAGATAATAATGAAGTACCTTAAAGAAATGGTAATAGTTTGGGTTGGTCGATATCTCCGATGGAATATCATTGGAGTCAGGTGGCTTGATAAACATTGATTCATAGACTGCATCACAAACTCTTCCAAAATGTCTAGAGATTGTCTCACCAAAATGTTGGTAATCCTCCAAACAAAATCTATTCGTTGCATTTTTCCCCACTATTGTCAAAAATATCATAACTTTCTCTTGAATACTTATGCTCTTGGTTCTTTGCAATTGGCCTTGTTGTGCCAATATATTACCTAAGGTCTCAAAACATGGTTTGTACATGCAACACTTATCGTACAATCTTGAAGGATGACCATTTAATAGCGCCAACATATAATCATGACCATTTAATGAAGATATATGCCTACGTTGACGTCCTTGCCTGTTGAACTCCGTTTCTAACGCAACAATCACACATAATGTGGTTGCAACATCTTCATATACTTCTTCACGTTAATTATTTCACTTACAATTAGTACATCTAGACAACGACATCTATACCTATCCAATTGTGACAATTTGTTCATCAATTCATACTTTTTGTAGTACTTAGCAAAATATAACATTCAATTTTTAAATCTACTTACAATCGTCAACATATATTTACAATCTTCAACATATATGAAACATGTTATTTCACATTGCACAACAACTCATTTTTCATCGATTCTTATAATATCAAAGTAAATGAAGTCTTTAATATGAAGGTAGTAAAAAAAAAGACAATTGTCAAAGAGGTAAGTATCAACTAACAAGTAGAAAACATTGGTTCGACAGGTAAGACAAACACTCTCATCTACAAATTGCCAAAGTCATTATTAACCCAATATGCCCTTTGCTCGGGTGGCAGGTGTACAAATATCTCACGCCACTCTGGCTTGTCAACTAAGAACTTCACAACTGCCATGAATATCTTTGAATCCAGTTGCATATTTGTCAAAAGGTCGATACATTTTGGCATGGAATTTTGATATATTCTTTCCCTCGTGTTCTCTTGGGCCCCACCATCTTTACTACGATATGCTACCTTAGAGCATCTTCAAATGACTCTCTATATGACCCAAACTCTTTATTATAAAGAGTTCATCCATAAAAATAAGAGTCCAATATACTCTTTATCTTTAAAATATAAATTAGAGAGTCAGTTTGGCTCTCCATATTTAGAATCAAATTTCACTCTCTATCCTAATTTTAATTAATAAACTACAAGTTTCTATGCATTTTATTTATTAATTCTCTCTCCCATTAAGTCACTTTCTTAAAAATAAAGAGTATCTTCATAAAATTTAAAGAGTTTATTAGATTTGAATAGAAATTGTGTTCTTTATATTTAAAAATTAATGAAAATGCTCTTTATTTATATGAAAAATGCTCTTTAAAAATAAAGAGAACTATTGGAGATGTTCATAAATGCCATAGTAATCTCAATAATAGCGTCCAACAATTTACCAATCAGACCCAAAAGTGGGTTTCCCCGAACGCATTTCATCTTCCTATCTATGGAACTTCCAAACCCAGACATGCTTAATCTTTTTTCCCCAAGTGTTCTATCCGAATCAGGTTCCAACTCATCTTCATCAATGTCCACCTCTACAGTGTCCGGCAAAAAAAAAAGGGTAGAGTTCGCTGGTTGAGATGCAGATGTGTAAGCGAATCTTCTAGTTGCATTTTGATAATAAAAAATAACTTCATATAACTCTTTATCAACAAGTCCCTTATATAAGAAGTCCTTTGCCCCCAGGTTTTGCTATTAATAAAAACAAACATACATTAAATTTCATATTCCCCCAAAAAAGTTAATACCAATTACTGTGTAATAAAACAAAATAAAAATATGCAATTTACCTATAAATATTCTTGCCAAATTTCTTTAGGATATGTTGGAGTTTGAGACTCATGATCCCAACCGAACCCCGTATGTTGAAATAGAGCACACAAAGAGTTATATGCTGATTTCAAGCGAAAATACTTAGAAGATAGCTGTTTGACTTCAATTTTCTTCCCAAACTTTACCCATAACTTATCACTAATAATCTTGTAATTAGAAGATTTAATTGAAGAACCATGTGTTGTTTGCGCATGCTCAGCCAACAGAACTAAAAAGTCATGGGTGATTAGAGGATCCCAATGAATGACCTTACTCATCTAATAATAGTAGGGTGAGAACAACAATCAAGATTGAAATATCATAAAAATCAACACACATATCAATACGAACATATGAAAATTAATACCTTAGAAACTTAACAGAGAGATTATTACCTCGTTTAACCCAACACTACTTGAAGCGGTAAGTACAGGAGATACTAGAGGTGGAAAAGCAGCCCGCTCGGCCCCACCCGCGACGGATTGCGCAAAGTGGAGGGTCGGTCTTGACCCGCCCGCCAATATTGGCAGGCCGGGTTAGGCTCGCCAATGTTGGGGAATTGGCTGGCCCAACCCGGACCGCCAACCCTAACCCGCCGGGTTAGGGGGTTAGGCCGCCGGTTGGGTCGGGTTTAGAGGTGGAACAAATGGACCGGGTTATGCGGGTCAACCCTAACCCGACCGGTAATGAAGAGGGTTGAACCCGGACCGCCAATATGCCAGTCCGGGTTGAACGGTCCGGGTTCAACCCAACCCAACAGCAACCCCCGGGCGGGGCGAGTTGCAATTTTGCAACCCGTCGTGTTTTGTCTCTTCTAAGAGAGACCGCCAACCCACCGGGTTGGCCCAAAAAAAATATAAAATTTAATTTGTTTTTTCAAATTATCCCTTTACCCTTGAAATACAGCCGTTTTATAGCCGTTGAAGGGGTATTTTTCGTCATTTTTTTTCTATAACTTGGCCCTAAACTCTCACATTTTTCTCACAACTCAAATTCTCTCATTCTCTCATATTCTCTAATCTCTAATCTCTCAATTATTCATTTATTCTCTTAATCTCTTTGTTATCAATTTGCTCGTATTTTAATTTTTATTAGTTTTTGCAATTTTTAATTCATATTTCCAAATTCCAAATTCCAATTCTCTTTCTTTAATTTTTATTTCTTCTACATCAATTTTTTTTTTTTTAACTACAATGGATAGATATTTCCCTCCCATCAATTACAATGATAAAGGAAACTACTATCTTAGTCCTAGTCCCGCTGATTTTACTAACATAAATGCAGGAGGAGATTCAAATAGTCCCGCTTTCCCATTCTCAGAATCCGATACACCTCAAAATATGCCGTCGATTCCAACAGCTCCCGGTGGTTCTAGAAGTCGTCCTCGTAATCGTCGTCCTCGTCCAACTTCATCTCAAGCTGAGGCGGGATCATCAACTGCCGTCGAAAGCGAAAACAGACACACATCAGACGTTTGGGCGCATTTCGACAAGTTTTACGAGACAGAAAATGGCGTTCAAGTCAAGAAAGCAAGATGCAAATATTGTGCAAATGTTTATAAAGCTGATTCAGGTAATGGTACTAGTACTTTAAAAAGGCATGCTAATAAACATATTAATCAACATGGAAATAGAGAAAGCAATCAAACTCAAATAACTAATATGGGTACTAATTGGCGTTATAATTCTGATGTATATAGGGAACAGTTAGCTTTATATATTGCTGCAACTGATCAACCTATTAATATGGCTGAAGATAAATATTTTGAAAGATTTGTTCAAAATTCATTTTTTCCAGGATTTAAAAGTTATTCTAAAACTGCAACTAGAAATGATTTAATAAAATTGTTTAAAAAAATGAAATTAGAATTAAAAAATAAAATACATACTTGTCATGTTAGTGTGGCTCTAACTGCCGATATTTGGAGTGGTAGAGCTAAACAAGATTATATTTGTGTGACTAGTCATTATTTTGATAATGAATGTAAATTAAATAAATCTTTATTAGGATTTAGATTAATGGATGTTGATCATAGTGGTGAACAAATTTATAATAAAATTGTTGAAGTTTTAGAAGATTATGATATTGTTAGTAAAGTGATAAGTTTAACTTTAGATAATGCAAGTTCTAATAGTAAAACTATAGATTAATTTCAAAGTAATTATCCTTTATATAACAATTTGAAGTTTTTTCACTAACGTTGTGCATGTCATATTATTAATTTAATTGTGAAAAGTGGTATGAAAACAATTAAAGAAAATATTAATAGAATTAGAGATTGTTTAGCTTAGATTACTAGTAGTAATAAAAGAAATGCTGAATTTCAAGACGCTTGTATAAAATCAAATATGTCTTCTATAACTTTTGCATTAGACATGCCTGTTAGATGAAATAGTATTTATTTAATGTTTGATTCATGTTTACCTTATGCTAATATAATTAGTTATTTTGTAGCAAATAATAGAGGTCCTCATTATTTGGTAGAAAATGATTGGCAAATAGCTAAAGTATTTCATTCTTTTCTTAAATTTTTTTACCAATCCACTTTACAACTTTCTGGTGTGTTTATCCTACTAGTCCATTGGTAATACATACAATTATAAAAAATTTCGAGTTATTTGTAAAAAACAAAGAGCCGCGACGGGTTGCGCAAAGTGACACCTAAACAATAAAGACAAGGAATGGGTTCCCAATATTTTAAAAAAAAAAAT